AGCTGTTTTCAACCTTTGACCTATAATTAAGTAAAATACTTCCTCCGTCCCCAAAAGAAGTTCCCTTATTGACTTTTTGGAAAATTAAGGGAGGGATGTTTTGGTGTTGGCTTTCCAAAAATACCCTTGATGTGATGGATAAAATTAAGATGTGATGGATAGATTATTAGTAGAATCAGGTGTACATAGACTATGTACACCTGATTCTACGATTTGATTCTAACATTTACGTGTTCTTTTTCTAGACATAGGCCCTGTTCCGTTCAACTTATTTTTTCTTATTTTTTCTTATTCTTATTAAAATCAGATCAAAGCAGACCAGATCAGACCAGATTGTTAGTCGGTTTAGTCGTTGTGCCCACGCCTTAGAGGGGGGGNTGAATAAGGCGTTTTAAAATCTTTTCGGAGTTTAATAAAAACGGTGTTGGCAAATGCGGAAGCAATATATAAAACGCAGAAATAAAAGCGTAAATAAAATGCACACCGATTTTATACTGGTTCGGGAACTCCCTACTCCAGTACCTCGAGGCTCCTCCTCAAGGATTTCCGAATCCACTAAGTCCCGGTCTCTTGAACTCCGTCAAAGCACCGCACTAGTTTGGCAAACAACCCTTGCCAATAGGATTCACTCTGAGATTTCACCACGGCTATCTCGAACCGTTTACAACGAAGATTTAACGGCTATCTTCTACCGTTCCCCCAAGGATTTCAAAGGCTATCCTTGAACCTTTACCCAAGGATTTATACGGCTATCCTTAACCGTTACAACGTGAGAATTTGACGGCTATTCTCGACCGTAAGAAGATGTGTTTGAAGAACACAAAAGTAGATTCTACAGAACGGCTAGAATATTAAAATGAAGAACAAAACTTAGCCGGTGTAGAAGGAAAGTATACTCTCTCAAAAATACAATTCAAACTTATGAATATGAGAGTATATAACTAGAAACACAAGCTCAAAGTGTGTGTATAAAAATCATGAAGTTAAGGCTCTTGAAATAGCCAAAATATTGAAAATAATTAATAAAAGAATGAACACACTTAGAATATAAAGGGAGGATGTTTAGAGCTTTGTTTCTTGAAGAAATATGAAGGATTAGGCTTGTATTTATAGTGGAAGATGTTAATTAGCCGTTGGGAGGTGATTAGGATTGATTAAATTCAAAATCACAAATCAGGAACAGTAATCCAACGGTCATGGTAGGGGGGTCCCGTCCATACGGTAGGGGGGTCCCGTCCATACGGTAGCTAGGTACCTTCTCAGGCCAAAACTCTCTGACGGTACCTATCTTAGTACGGTACCCCTTACGGTAGGGGGGTCCCGTCCATACGGTAGGGGGGTCCCGTGCGTACGGTACCTAGGTACCTTATGACCATTTTGACAATTTTTTTTATTTTTGTCCAAATCATTTCCAATTTTGTTTAAAACCTTTTGGATGTTTGAAAATGATTATAAAAGGGTTTTAAACATGTTTTGTGAGTGTTTTTGAGCTTGTGAATATAGGTCATGTTAGTGTTTCGACTTCATTCTTGAATACCGAATCTTAATGGATTCTTGTTTTTCCTGAAACACTTAAACAAACGTTAAGCTCTTATATTGTTTGTTAACATCAAAACATGAGGCTTAACAAACCAAGGCTAACACAGATCAGACCAGATCAGATCGAATCAGATCAGATCAGAACAAATCAGATCAGACCAGATCAGATGAGATCAGATCCAATTAGACCAGACCAGACCAGATAAGATCAGATCCCATAAAGAATTATTATTATTATTATTGTTATTGTTATTGTTATTGTTATTATTATTATTATTATTATTATTATTATTATTATTATTATTATTCTTGTTGTTGTTGTTGCTGTTCTTATTATTATTATTATTATTATTATTATTCTTGTTATTATTATTATTATTATTATTATTATTATTCTTCTTCTTCTTCTTCTTCTTCTTTTTCTTCTTCTTCTTCTTCTTAAAAGTGAAAAAGAATAAACTTTAGAAACAAGTTAAAATGCATTCACAATGTCAATCTAATTCTACTTTTAAAATACATTTTTATTGCTACCTGTAATTTGAGTTTCTAAAGTTTTGATCTTTTATAAGCATGAGATATTTTAATAAAAATACTATCTCTTCCCTGTATTGATTTTATATAAATTAAATATTTATTCTAATGTACGTATGAACTAATTATTAAAATATTAAATCAATATTCTTATTTCATAAACAATAATCATAAAATAAAAATATTATTACATTAAAATATGAAATATTATTCTAATTTATAAATTAACTAATTTTATTTTATTAAAAAATAATTATAAAATAAAAAATATTGATTACGGAGTATATTATAATATGAATTATCATTACAATTTTCAAAAGTTATTATAAACTCAAATCAAATTATTGATTTGAATTTTAAATCAAATCATAATTAATCAGATCAGATCCAATCAGATGAGATCAGATCTAATTAGATCAGACCAGATTAGATCAGATCTACTTAGATCAGATCAGATCAGATCCAATCAGATCAGATCAGACCAGACCAGATCAGATCAGAACTACAAAAAATCAGATCAGATCAGAAAATATAAGTTGAATGGAACAGAGCCTTACCATGACATCCAAATAGAGGATACATTTCTTAAGTGTGCTTTTACATAAATATAATAGATGACTTTTTTAAAGTGTTTTTGTATCTAGACCTGTCAAAATAGAACCAGAATTGATTAACCGAAACGAATGATCTGAAACCGAAACCAAAATGATCCAAAAAATAAAGACTCGATTTATAACCGGATAACCGAAATGATCCGAGCCAAACTGAAATCAAACTAAATATATCCATACCTAATTTAAAATCGAAACCTATTAGATCCGACCGATTAGATCGAAAATAGATAACATTCAAAACCGGATAAATCCGAAATCGATAAAACCCGAAACCGACAAGATCTGAAATCGATTATATCCGAAATTGATTTTGCATGAAAATAAATATATTATATTTATGTACATTAGTGAACAATTATATTTGATTTCAAATTTTTATTTTACCATTTGAACTAGTTATATACTTATTGTGGGAAATAAACACACAACACACATAAATAATCTGCAAGAATCAAGAGAGAGAATGGAACACAAACAACACACAAGAATTTAACGTGGTTCGGTTTTCCTAATTCACGGCTGCAACAGGAGGAACTTCTATTTCACTTGTGGTATCGATTACAAGTACAAGTATGCAATATATATATATATATACATATATATATACATACATATATATATATATATATATATATATATATATATTGTTGGAATGCATGAGTTCAACTCTTTCTGTGTTGTTAAGTGTTGTCACAGGTTTTCATAATTGACAAACACAGTTTATTCAAGTCAAGATTAAAGTGCTACAACGACAAACACGAAGACTTGAAGTGCCATTCCTTGAAGTATTCAAGAAGGTGCACAGGATTTTGTTGTAGTCCGTGACGCGTTCGGAGCGCCTAACGGAGGACTTGGAGGAGCAGAAGATTTCCGAAGACTTTTTATTTATTTGAGTCTTAGGAATTATTGTAAGGATGACAAAAATATCATCTCTCCAAAATTATTTTTATGAGAGTTAAAATAAAAATTATATTTATTTTTGGAGTTAGTTGAAAAATCTTTTTAACTGTTCAAAATAGTTTTATTGAGTCAGTTACAAAAGGTGTGCCAAACATTTATCAAATATTTATTTTGATATTATAAAATATTTTTTGTAAGCAAAAATATTTTATTCAAATATTTTTTTTGTACATCGTTTGACACACAAAATAATTTTTGGACTCACTTTTTCTCCCCTATTCAAAATTCTTTGAATGAGAAGCTTTGATTGGGGAGCGTTGCTGCCTGATTCCCGTTGTCTCAAACAACGAGTATTCAGCCAATTCTTTATCTATCGCAACTAGCCCTGGGCCCTTTGTGTTTGCAAATTATTTCCTTATTAATCGATTAATCTTCCAAAATTAATCGATTAACTACTTATCGCTGAGTTTCTCTGGCCTCTAGCTTAATCGATTTTTTTTCTTATATTAATCGATTAAGGCTCACAGCGCCTTCTAATCGATTAATCCCTTTAATTTAATCGATTTTCTTTCAGCTGCATTAATCGTTGATGATGCTGCATTAATCGATTAAAGCTATGTTTAAATCACACGAGACGACTTAAACAATGTTTAGGGCCTATTGTTCTTGATATAACATAGATATGGAATCATAAATTGGCCTCTAGGGCTCACTTATATTCAACATATCACATATGTGATAATCGACTATCAAGCCATGCAGATTCTTGAGTCAGAGTTGGTTTCACTGATAATCGATTATCACAGAGCAATAATCGATTATCACGCCTCTATGAACTTGGGTTTCCTAGACAGAACAGCTTGACAATCGATTGTCAGAGGGTGACAATCGACTATCACAGTCTGCAGGACTTAGGAACAGAAGCTGAAATGCGTGATAATCGATTATCAGAAATGGATAATCGATTATCAGCCAGTTCTAAACCCAAGGCCATCATTTTGTACAAATCATTTCATATGGAATCAAACATTTATGTATGTATTGAACTTCATTCATTAAGCAATGCATTCATATCATCATGTATATCCTAGACACATGTTTAGGATCATGGCATACTTTGCATACCGCGACAAGAGGTCACGCCTAGTGCGCCTCTTCTGTGGGCCCGTCCAGGAGCCTGCGGGATCCAACGGGTTTTCATCACGAGGGTTTGTGTACGTACATGGTAGCTAGGCTTCAGCTATCACCCACATTTCTAGTCTCCATCGGGAAGACTAAGGCGTTCCTCGGCTCATCTACCGCGTGGGGATGATCACCGAAGGGCAGGGGGTCCCTGCGCAGTCTAACTCATGCATCATGAATTATTTGGCATTGCATCACTGTTATTTTATAAACTTTTCAGATTGTATGTGGTATATCGTACTTTAGTACAAGTACAATTATGTTTATATCAATGTGAATGTACTATGCGTTCTACTGTTAGATTACCACTCAACTTTTGCTGAGCGTATAGCGTTGTCTTTGCTATACGCAGGTAGCCAAGACGAACATGGAGCCTGACCCGGATTGGGAGATCGGGGCAGCGGATCGACGACAGTGGGGACCCGATTAATTATCTATTTAATTATGAAAAACGTTTTGGGCTTGAACCCACCGTTGTTGCACTTTCTTTATTTATGACTTAAGTTTAAACGTTTACATTTACTTTCGCTATAAAACATTTCTATTAAGTGAATTTATTTTCATCATTTAATAAAATATATCAAGGGCTTTCAGTTACAAGCAACGCAAGGGTTTTTCCTTGTAGACGGTCCAAAGAACTGTCTACGTAACCTCTCCGGCTCGTTGGGCCGCGGTGAACCGGATTCGTGGGACGGAGGGTGTTACACCAACCTTGGAAGAGGTACACCAGGAAGTTTGGGAATTAGATTGGAATAGTGCAAGTGGGCCAGATGGTTTCAATGGGAACTTCTTCAAAGTCGTTTAGGACACATTTAAACAGGATGTTCTCCTTGCCTCTTAGGAATTCTTCATGGGACAACCTATTCCAAGAGCATATGCTAGCACCTTTTTGACCCTCATTCCTAAATTAGATAACCCAAAAATATTTGAGGACTATAGACCAATCTCCCTCTCCACATTCATGAGCAAAATAAATACTAAAATCCTTGCAAATAGGCTTAACACCATTCTTCCCAAAATGATCTCCAAGGAGCAAGCAGATTTTCAGAAAGGAAACTCCATTGATGATCATATCCTCATGACACATGAAGCAGTTCATCTTCTAGACAAAAAAGTGTATGTGGGTAATTTAACTCTCAAGTTGGACATGGCAAAAGCATTTGACAAACTAGACTAGGAATACCTGAGGCTTTACTTTAGGCTTTTGGGTTCAACACTTTATCCACAACTCTTTTAATGGCCAACTTAAAAGGGACTTTCTTCAGCATTCTAATCAATGGGGAGCCATCAGGATAAAATGGAGAGGGGTGTAAAACAAGGAGACCCCCTTTCACCCATCCTATTCATCCTAGCACCAGATAGTTTCATTAGACTCATCAACCAGTAGATGGACACTAATCATCTCCTCATATTCAACTCAGGCAGGTCCCCTTCCCCTCTCACCTTATTTATGCTGATGACATTATGATTTTTTCCAAAGGTGACACAAGAAACCTGCTCAAACTCAAGATCTCTCTTGATATCTACCTCAAAGCATCTTGCCAAAAGATCAATTTAAACAAGAGAAAATTCTACACTTCAAAGAACACAACCAACTCCCAAATTCAGAAAATGGAGAAGGCTCTAGGAATCAAAAGAAGAAACCTGTCATTTACCTATCTGGGAGCACCTATTTGTCGTGGGATTTTGAGAAAAGAACACTGCAAGGACATCTTGGGGCATTTTAAAAAACTTATCCACTCTTGGTACAACAAGACATTAAACCAAATGGGGAGATTTATCCTTATAAAGCATGTTCTTTCATCAATCCCCTTACACATCCTTGCAGTACACACTCTTCCAAAATCCATCATCCAAACTCTCACCAAATACATGGCCAACTTCCTTTGGGGACAAAAGGGTGGCTCACAAAAACACCACTGGGCAAGATGGGCACAACTTACTAAACTTGAGGTAGAGGGAGGTCTGAGGATCAACAGTTTAAAGGATCATCAACAAGTGTACACACTTAAGCTTTGGTGGAAGGCAAGAAATGACATGGGAATGTGGGGACCCTATGTGAGAGCAAAGTACATGAAGATAGGATCTTATTGTGGAGACTCCTTAACAATGCTCTTCCTTTCTCCCAAAACCTATGCAGATTCACAACAACCCTTCTAAGTTTCTATCCATTTTGCCAAAACAATAATGATGACATTGATCACTCCTTTCCACTGTCCAAAGGCAACAAAGGTCTAGAACTTGATTGCAACCCTATCCAACGGCCCTAGTGTTAAGGAGAAGACTACTTTACGTCAACATCTACTTGCATGGTGGTTTGGTAGAAACACCAAACACTTCAAAGGAAATCTCCGTCTCATTTCTCCAGGCCTTTGCACTTGGTCCCTTTGGAAGGCACGTAAATCTATTCTTCATAACGCAGCAAAACCAACATTAGAGGGAATACTTCAAACATGCCTCAAGACACTCCAAGCATGGGCCTGGCTTAATAGGAACAAAAAAATGGATGGTTCATGATAAAGACTTCAAAGGCTTGGGGTTAAAATCATATATTTGCGCAATGGTCGTAGAATTTTATTTAAAATCTTTGTTTAAGTTTGCTTTGCCCTTTCTAGAACCTTGTATCCTCTTTCCTCTCTTCATTTAATAAAACTTCCTCTTATGGGTGTTCTACTCCGAATAAGGCAGCTAAAATATCACTTGACCCTGTGACTGTGATTGAGGCGAAAACAGAAACAAGACATACCTACAAGGAAACTATCATCGAGGTTGATGGTCAATTATTCATCATCGAGGTCAAGGGACAGGATGACTTTGAATCAATGGCAAAACCTTTGGACGTCACTAAAGATGCAACTTCAGCAGGTTCTAAAGATGAAGAACCCCAAGAGTTTGCTGCAAATGACACATTTGACGCAAGCCAGGATAATGAGGAGACAGGGAACCAAACAGAACCAGAATTTGATTGGGAAGAATATCAGTATGAAGAGGACTTCACCCTGGTCAAAAGCAAAAAACAAAACTCTCCTCCAGAACTAACGATTCAAACAAGAAGTGGCACTACGTCAAAAACAGATGCTGACAACTGTTTCTTTTAGTAGTCTCACGGTGCTGATTTCAGTAGTCTTCCGAGCAGCTGTCTGATATATTTACAGACTACTGTTTAAAAATAGTTGTGTAAAATGCTTGACGACACCTGTTTTGTAATGTTTTAGAGTACGACTTTTTAGTGTTGTCCTTGTATGAGTAAGACATCTGTTTTTTAGAGTTAAAGAGAACTATGATTTTTTGTTGTCTATCTATAATGAATACTACTGTTGTTTTTAACTTTAGACTTCTAATTCTTGGTGTTGTCGTTCAATAATATAGACATCTACTTTAAAAAGTAATTGAAAGATATATCAGACTGCTGCTCGGAAGACTACTAAACAAAAATGACATCAGACAACTGTTATCTTTTGTTGTATTTCTAGAATATGGACTACTAACATTATTCTTATTCAAACTACTGTTTCTTTTAGTTGTATATTGATTATTAACACAATGGTGTTTTGTAGTTTTTCTTGAAGTATTCAAACTATCTTTTATAACAGTAGTTGAATTGTTTATGAGACAACTACTCTAAAGATTACTAAAGAAATTTGCTTCAGACAACCATTATTTCGCATTGTATTTTACGAATATGAACTACTGTTTTTGTAGTATTTCAAACAACTGTTTGTTTTGATTGTCTAAATGTTATTAATACTGCA